GCCTGCCAGCCCCTCGCCACTAGGGCCTAGCTGTTACTCTGCACCGCCTCGGGGCGCCCTGCCTAACCGGCGACACCCCCGCTCCCAGCTCTGGACTTCGGGTTTTAGGCATCCTCACCATTAATCTGGCTGAGGCTCCAGTTCTGGGCCAGCTCTGGCACCCTGGGATTCAGCTGAAAGTGGAAGGGGGCCCCGTGGGGCGGCAGGTCCTCGTCCGTGGCAGTGAGGAGGAGGCCGGCGCCCTGGTCTGGCTTGCTACACAGGCTGCCGGACGGCAGGGCCAGCTCAGGGGCGTGGTCATTCACCTCCAGGATCTCAATGGACAGGGTCCCCGTGGCGGTGCAGGGTGGGGAGGCTGCAGGCAGGAAAGGCTTGGTGGGCATCCCTGGGGCACACACCAGCTGGCCAGCCCGGGGCTGCGGGGCCAGCTAGAGGCCACACTCACCGTCGTCGTGGGCCAGGATGACGGCCCTGTACCAGCCGTCCTTGAGGAACGGGGACTCACGGCTGAGCACTCGCCGTGTCCGGATCCAGCCCGTGGCCCCGTCCACTTGCAGCCAGTCCTCGGGGTCGTAGTCTTTGGAGTAGCTGTGGGTGGGGGAGGGGACAGATGGAGGACCGCAGGCCAAGGGACAGGGCGAGCCCAGGACAGGCGCACAGGCTTGCCAAGGTGGACAGGGCAGGACCGGGGCCCTGACCCCACCTGAGCCTCTGCAGCTGCTGCATGTCGGGGTCTCGAGCCGAGAAGGCGACCACAGGGGTTCCCGGGGCCGCCCCCTCAGCCAGGCTGGTCCGCAGCGGGTTCTCCGGAAACACGGGCGGCTCGTTCACATCCTGCACCACCACGCTGACCTTGGCCTGGCCCCGTGCCGCCCGGGCGGCCGCCGCCTGCAGGGGCGCCACGTTCTGTACCACAAGCGTGAGGTGATGCTGCTCCCGGTCCTCAAAGTCCAGGGGCTGGGAAAGGGCGATGCTCAGTCCGGTGGCGCTGGGCCGGGGCAGCTGGGGAGCGCACTGCAGGCCCGCCGCTCAGCCTCATGGGGCGGGAGCTGCTGGCCAGCACGGGACCACCAGCTCAGCGGCCGGCGGGCCCCGTGAGGCCCCACGGCCCCACGGGCGGGGAAGGCTGGGCACCCATCTGTGGCCCTGCTGCCCCGTGGCTGGGGTGGCCTGACCTGCTGTCCCAGCTTCCTGGCCCCGCTCCACCCACACTCTCCCAAGTTACAGCCGGTCTGGACAGGTGCCAGGGCACCCCTCCGCCCAGCGCCAGAAGCGAAGGCACAGCCCGTTCCCCACCTTCACAACAGACAGCACCGCCTCATTGGTCTTGGGGTCCGTGCGGACAGCAAAGTGACCGTCTGGGTCACCCTCCACGATGGTGAACCTGGCTGCCCAGTTGGGGGAGCCCGGCAGGTCCCTGTCCTCCACTTCAAGCCTGCCGATGTCCACACCGCTCACAGCCTCCATGGCCTGCAAGGAGAACTGGGGGCGCCGCGGGTTACCTTCGGGATCTCGAGGCCTGTGGCCCGTCTGTTCAGTGTCTTCCAGCATCTGCCGTCCCAGTCACTGCTGCCAGGGACCCCTGTGAGCCCCTCCCCGGGGCTGGTGACACAATGGGCTTTCCCGTCCGGGGGGCAAGGTTCAGGGGAAACTTGCTCTCGCTGTGGGGTTGCTGGGGCGGCCCTCACGAGAACCTCCCTCTCAGCCATGAGCCTGGCACCTGCTCGGGGGCCCTTCGCAGACCCCACCCACCGTCCCCGCCC